GTGTTTAAAAACCATATTAACTTCATCCTTAGACCATAAAATAGTACCATGGCTGTGGTTTTTTCAGAGTGACCTTGACTTACACGCGATAACGATATGCGTTCTAAAAGATATTTGGCCCTTTTAACTTGTAATAAAAACACGACAATACGTTTGTAAAGTTTCAACGCATCATTGCGTATAATGTTATCAAGAGGCCATGGGAGCTATAATTGATTTATAGTAAGTCGAGACAAAAATGAATTATAAACCAGAGAAAGAGAGGAACATATACACACGTGATACTCGACAAATATTTTTTCAAATATTTTCACGGTTGTGACGTTAGGTTTTGAACTAGATTTGTCGTCAACCCAAACGGTCACCAAACTTTTATCCAACCATTTAAAGTTCCTCAATATGTTTAGAAAAAGGTCATTGAGAACATATGTATCATACCACATTTGATTTTTATCTATCTGCGTGTAAAAAAAGAAAAAATCAAATAAACATTCACATGTCAAAGCATTGATGAATTAAACAAAGACCAACTCTGTCAAATAAGATATCACACAGTCGATGCATCGATTCTCCTTGCTGCATAAAGTAAAATCCGGATAGCGCCCGTATGTGCCTCCAAAGGTGACATTGTTCGACTAGAGCACGGGAAAGATGTTGACCAATCCGCAAATATCTCGGATGAAGATAGTCATCGTACCTTTCCTTGAACCTTTCATCGAATGGCTGAAATAATATTAAGTCATGCATTCCATTCGAGTCTGTTTTCTCATTGTCTATTTTCTCAAACTTTCCCGTTGGTTGAGCCCATAGAGGGAACAGGTATGACATTGTATTTGGAAAAGTATTAACCGTCTCGCTCAAATCCGAAAATTTTTTAAGTTCTAATAACTTATTCCAACTTTCATCAACTCCTTTGGTGTTGTCCTCTTTACTTTCATCAACAATTTTTTGTTCTTTATCTCCAAGGCTTTTTTCATCAGCATCCTGATCTTTCTCTTTTAATAAACTATTGTCATCTTTGTTATGATCATTAAGACTATTCTCATCAATGTTTTTGTCTTCCTTCTTTTTCGAATCAGGATGTCTAAATGAAGTTTCTCCAATCTGAACATCCAAACTCGAAATTTGACTTCTCGTTTCATGATCCTTTATCTCATCATCTATTTCCATGTCCTCAACTTCATAATCATTATCTTGATGATGATTGGAAGTCTCAGTAAATGGTTCCTGCTCTAGGTATTTGTTATTGTTCACAGAAAGATCAAACAGGGGCAATGACTCGACACCCAATTTAAACTCTTTCGGATTATATTGAAATGCCGAATGACTTTTCTTCTTACCCTAACACAAACTGTTATAACAATAATCTCAAAAGGAAAGTAATTAAGTAAAAAAATAACACCAACAGTAATTACCTCTTTCGATTTTAAAGACATGAGCAAGTTCTGTGCTTTTCCAGAAAATAAAATTCGACCTACTAAGGGTTCGAGAAATGCAGGCATGGCCAAGCTTTTTTTGACTATATTATCACCTGTAGAGTTTTCTACTCTGATTTTATACATCTCTGACCAATACCTTGAAGAAAATTCATTAACTTCTGGTGTTCTGAATTATGTTAATGTAAAAATCAACCATCAATTGACTTGAAAAAATTCGAGCATCGCTGAATTGATTGATGGAACAAATGAATTGTCCATCTTCTAATAATAGAGTTTTCAAAAAACAATCTACCCTGAGGATATCAGAAGAGACACAACGCAACGCAGAGACGCATACCTAACAATGAAGAACTCATTTGCTGGGTCGTTTAGAACTCCTGTACTGACCCACTCATCGATCATACGAATGAATGGAACAAAAGAATTATCTAGATGTTCCCCTAACATTAGGAATATCGATTTGTTTCCCTCCGTCTGGTGAAAAACTAGCTCATCAAAAAGACCGGATAGGATTTTGTAGGATAGTTTGTAAGGCGATGAAATCAGGAACGAATCTGTGAACAGGCTAGGAAAGTCTAAGGTGATGTGAAGATTTCTTCATATAACCGTATAACATAACACAAACAGATGAATAAAAATGTTATAAGCAATACCATGCAAAAGATATCTATCGAAAAAACAGTGCAGTATTTTGAACTCGTATAATTGTTCTGAAATTTGGTTTTGAAGTTGTAGTAAAGAAATGTAAGTATCTTGATCTAGAAAAAAATTTAAATAAATAGATTAATAATTAACTAATGTTAAAGTTAACCGATTAGCAAAAAAGAAGAACGAACGAATGAAATTGTATTAACCTTGAAACTTTGAGTTGTTCACTTGGTATCTAGATTCAAGGTCTGCCAAAAAGTTGTCAAATTTCATGATCATCTTCAGTATAGATGCAGCAAAAGCCTGAGTAGTCTGACCATACGTTATATAGGATTCTTTGCATATCCTGACAACGTTAAACAAAATCTTAGAATGTTTAAAAACTATCACTATTCCTGTTATCGATTTCAAAAAAACGTTTTACAAAGCACAAAATACCAAATCTATTATTACCTCATGGAAACTGTTCTCAACGTTGCCAAATAATTTCCATAATTGCAAAAAACTTCTAGAATAGATTTAAACGCTCCTTCGGTCAGGTGCATCAGTAATGCATTAAGTTTGACCTTATTATCCCAAATACAATTGGCACAAAATGGTACATATATCGATTAATTAAACAACCCATTGTCAAGGAGAATTCGCGATATAAAGAATTTTTAAATCGCATACGCTGAATTTTCCATTATTGTCAGGATCCATATGAAACAAAAAGCTGGGTCGACCAGACAGCATGAACAACACTTCGCGTATAGCATCAAGTTCTGTAATGTACTTAACTAATGTAGGATCATAGAACAAGTAACGCGTATCCTGGCTTCGATGCTTCGCGAGTGAAGGACCTTGAACGGATGAGGCGGTAATTATTTAAAAAATTGACAGTAAGGTCCTGCGATTAAAAAAAAAAAAAGCGCCTACCCAAAGTACTCGGGATATTTTGATCAAACATAGACACTGTCACATTCGGAAATAGATAAGCAAAAATAGAATCATATAAAATATGATTGAAAGAAGAAAGAAAGACTTACTGTCCAAATACGAATAGTCACGATAATCTGATCTCCAGTACTGCTTACACCTCAGCGCCTGTGTTAATTCGTAATTCCTCTCCTGATCGACAACTTCATTTATTTCGGTCATGTGGTCTTCTTCCATAGGATCAGACTAAAGATTTTAAAAGAGAAGTTAATCTATTATTGCTATTAGCTCATTGAATCGGGATAATTTTATGGAATTAAACTTTACGACCTTATCGACATTATTCTGCAAATTAGATCGATTCCCCAAAGTTTCCCTAATCCATTCTTGTACATCGGAGCTCCAGTCAGTATCGTCCTCGTCATCTTCGGTATAATCTTTTTTTACGGTCCAATGAAAGCCGGTCAGAGGTTCCTCTTTAAAAATGTCGGCCACATTAAATTCAGGTTTCTTGGGCTTTTCTTGAAAAATTGGCTTTGATGGAACATAAGTAGTTCGAAGTGGAGACTCGGATAAATTTAAAATCAGGCAAAGGATATCATAACGAGTCTGAAGCTGGAAATTCAAATTATTGTTAATCAGTTAGAATTCGTTAAACGCCGGAAGAATGACATTCACTCACAGGAATTGATTCTTCAATCTGAGGTCTTTGCATAAACGAAGTAACATATTTATCCAAAAATTCAGCTTTTGAGTCTTGTGCGTGCAGTCGAAATTTTTCCGAGATCCTTTTGCAGAACAGAATAATTGTTTCTTCATCGAAAATTGGATATCGTTCGTTTATAACCTTCTGTACTTACCCTTTGTATTTTCTTAATACCTCCTTCTGGCTAGTACTCCCGAACGTGCCAAACCTGAACGTTGAGTGTACATATTTGACGTATTTTTTATAATTGTCCGAACCTGGCTAAAAAAAAAAAAAAGGTGAAATGTATATTTAAATTCAATGTAAAAATAAATAAAAAACCTTACCTGTGCTTGGGTTATGAGTTGTACCAATTTTTCGATTGAAGTGTTTACAATATTTAACGACATTTTCGTGATAAAAAATTCTTATATCGACGGTGAGAGTTTCATGATCTGCAATGTAATACAATCTTGTTTACGAGAAATCGCGTTTAATATCGGTTATCCTATTACCACCTACGACACGTCATGGTTTTCTAACTTTATCACGTGACGGAGAAATTAAGCTAACAATTTTTTCGACCTTAGACTCTTAATTTGTATGCACTCTTAGACTTTACCCTATTCAGCGGTTATGTTATGCAAGAACTGAGTAGTTCTAGCGTTACGCGACTGTTGACGCGTGATATCGACAGGCTTGCCACTCAACGTTGACAAGATACGGTATATGCAGTATATAGAGCATTAAAAATAAATCATATCAGTATATCGATTTATATTTTGCCAAAAAAAAAAAAATAAAATAAATTTTTTTTATTTTCTTAGAGATAATTTTCGATATGCAGTATACTTTAACTATAATAGTTTCTCTTAAGTAAATTATAATTCGATGTATAGTATAGTACGTATCCCTGAAAAAAAATTCTTTTTTATTGAACTAAAAATTTCATATTGTATAGTGTCTAAGAAATGCCAATAAAAAAAAATATCAATTTTTTAGAATTCGATTAAAATCCCCCAAAAATGTCATTTTGAGTTGCATATAGAGAATATTTATTCCTTGATACATCAACTTGAGTTAGCTAATGACAAAAGGAATTATCAAAGGTCATAACATCTCGGGTAATATGTCGATTCGTGTTCTTGTATCACAATTGCAATTTTGTTTGTTACCAGATAAAGAAAATGGAAAAATATCAAACTTCTTTTCAGGAAAGTCATTCACAAAAATGAGCATGCAATAAAAGTTTTCTGCCACCTAACATTCACCTCATTACTTAATCATTTTTCCTTCTTAACCTGCAACTTATTATCTTTTTGTGAGCGTTCACTTTCGTTCTTACATATACCCTGTTCCACGCTAAACATCTTCGTCAACGGATCTGACTCTAATACGTGCGACCTACTTCTGGTAATCATGGTGTGTGTCGCATTCTTCGCTCTTCCTTTTTGATACGGCGAATATCTCATCTCCAATTTATATTTTTTCTCAAGACCACTCGTCACATTTCTGATTAGGATGATTTCTTTGTCAATGTCTACTGATTTCTTGTATTTGGCTTCAAGTTCGAGTGTTAAATCCTTGATTTGATTTAGTTTTCTGAGTGGACAACCGTCACGTCGGTGTCCGACAGCGAAGCAATTCGAGCAAATCATTTTGTAATCGACTGATCGAACCGATAAGTTTTTAGATAGAACGAAAAGGTGTATTCTAATTTGGTTACAAATCGACAGTGTAAAACAAAAGTATATTGACGGAAAGAAATAAAGTGAAGTGAATTCCCGACTTTCACACTCAATATCTACGGTATTTGTTCAGAAACTCTGTATGTACGTAAGAGTTTAGTCATGATTAGCGACGTGGGAGATATTTACTGATTGATCTTATGATTGGCTCATTTTATAAACTCCACTTTTAAACTAAAAGTCGTCAGAATAGCCAGTTTAAATATGAAATTATATTAGTAATTTAAGTTGTATGATACAAAAAAAAATCATTTACCGTACGTATATCAAGTTTTTATTTATGACTTTAAAATTGTGAAAGTTCGGATTTTCTATTTTTTCACTAGTGATAGAGGTGCAACTAACACGTCTGACGCGTTCTTACTTAATTATCACGCGACGTATCAATCATTCGTTTTATCTCTCTTTCACATGCAGAAATTAATAATTAATTCTTTATTGATTTTTATACTGAATTTCTATAAGCAAACTAGAATCCAACTTCCTGTTAAATGTTCTCATATTTAATCCTGATATCAAAATCATATGGTCTACTATATTGCCAGTAATACTTTCGACGACATTGTCTTCCGCTTCTAGTTTTCACTTCGTGACTAATCTTCTTCCACAATTCTTCATATTCCGCTAACTCGTACTCCTTCCATTCTCCTGCATATTTATCTAATGCCTCTTCGAATCTCTTCAACTCTTCATCCGTCCACACCCCAACATTCATCACCGGCTTATCACTCTTCGGATTTAAACTCCCATATTGTTTATAATTGTGTTTCAACTCTGCTAATGTTCGATCTGGAAACCGTTCCTTGATCTTTTGCCATGATTCTTCATCTTTCTCGCCGAATTCTTTTAGTGCTTCATGAAGTCTAATAGTTTCCTCTGGTGTCCACACTCGTGAAGTGATCCATGTATAACGATAACTTATGGTATTATAAGGCCGTCCCAAGATTTCCGATAATTTTTTCCAATCTTCGCCATTTGTTTTTACCAGTTGTAACAAAAAATTATCTTCTTCCTCTGTCCAGCGTAATTTGGGTTTTCGATTTGGGTCAAACACATGTGGTGATGGTCTTTTTGATTTTTCATGGTTTTTGGGTTTGGGAGTTTCAAACGAGGAACTTGGCCGAGGTGGTATCCAACGATCGGTTGAACTACGTGTAATTGATGTCAACATCCCTTTCCCACCTTGAATCCCGAAGCCTTGATTACCCCTTGTTCGATTTACGTCACCATATTTAGGTAAACTTTTTATGCGTTCTGCCCTCTTCAACTCATTTCCTGGTGATAGTTTCTTATCATTGACGCCACCTGATTTGCTCCAAATCACCCCTGCTCGCCCTCGAGACTTATCATCATTACTTCCAGTGGATTTCGACAATCTATAATTCGAGTTCACTTCTTTCCAAGAATTCGATGATGATCTGGAAGGCGATCTCTCGTTCAAGCTTGTAGAGACTCCCTTCCATTTGGTATCTCCATTTTCGCTATCACGTGATTTCACATTAATCCACGATCTATGCTTTCGCGATTGTGCATCTTTATTCAACGGCTTTGAGTTTGGTGATTCTCGCGGTCGCAAATGCTTGTCTTTATTAAACGACCTAGGTTTATCCGTGGAATGAATATCAGCTTCTGGCAACGACCCTTCAACAGAATTATTATTTTTTCCCCTACTAAAAGTGTCTCCCATCTTTTCCCCCAATTTGTTTGACCCTTGTACTCCTCTGGCCCTACTCATCTTATTATCTTTGTCATCTCTGGCGAACGTCTTTTCTTTGTATGAAAAAATGTTGACCTGATAAGAGGTTTTCGTTCTTGTTCTATATCCATCTTTTTTTTCTTTACTGTTGCATTTTTTGTGATTATTAGGATTATTATTATCTGCCGAGTACAATCGGTTATTTTTATAACTGATCGCGTTGAGAGATGTTTCTTTTAAATTTCCGCATAACAAAGGTGAAAATGTGAATGAGTAGAATAATGGAGAAAGTGAGTGTGAACGCAAAGATTTAGAAATCGTAATCAAGGAAGCGTGCAACGGAGACATCGTTACTGGCGAAAAACCAGCGATAAACTTTCTACTTGACTTTCTTTGGTGAACGTGTGATTTTTTGGTTTGCACGGTTTCTTCGCGAATATGATGCACATTAAGCCCTACGGTGGAAGAGAGAGCTAACTTATGCTGACGCGTCCGCTTGGTTTCGCCCGTAAAAGATTATTTCATTTTTCGAATAACCTGAAATGCCCATTTTAAATGATCGAGTCAATTCACTCCGCAAAGAGACTGCAAAAAAATTTTTAATTACCATTTCAGATTAGAACCAATGAAATTGTCGATCGCGTACTGATATTTATACCAAAAACTGTGTCCCTTTTTCGGAAGCAGAAACATTATTGTGATTATTATTATTTTTTTTAAAGCATGTTATTGCCTTCAACTCCTACCACCGTTGTCGCAAACGCTATCAATCCCATTAACACCATTCCAATATTACCCGTGCCCGCTGATTCAAGCAGTAATACTATGTCAACTCACGCCCTTTCGAAAGTATCTTTCATGCTATATAAGGAACTAACCAACGATCTGATCAACCTTTTGGAGGAAGATGACGAACACAACGTAATTATCGAAGCGGGTGAGCCACCGAATACACGGAAATTCAAAGCTCATTATTATATGTTGAGAATGCGATCACCTTACTTCAAGCAGGCTCTCTCTAATAGATGGGCAAAACAGGAGAACGGTGTCTACATCTTTAAGAAACCAAATATAAGTCCAGATACTTTTGATATTATCCTGAGGTATGCAAATGAAGTTACGGTGAGTTTTAAAAAGAATATATGGAACAACGATATTCAACAAACAATTTTCCTTTCTTAGATACATATACACGTCATTAATTAATGTGGAGGCTTTAAACGAAGGCGAAATTGTAAATATCCTGGGAGCCGCTGATGAATTATGTCTAAATAAATTAGTAGAAGTATTGCAGGAAGAATTAATAGATCGCAAACATTCATGGATGAATAAACAATCGGTGTTGATATATAACGCGAGTCAAAAGTATCCAACATGCACGATGCTATCGGAGATTACGCAAGAAGCACTTTATCAGCAACCAGAATTATTACTCGAGTCCGAAGATTTCGCCGCTTTAGAAGTTGAAACTGTCATCTGGTTGTTGAAACGTGACGATCTTGGTATGCCCGAAACAGATCTTTGGAAGCGATTGGTGGAATGGGGGATCGGTCAATTACCGGTACCTTTAGATCCAGATGTAACAAAATGGTGTGATAGAGATTTCATGGAATTGGAGGAAAAGCTACGACCATGCATTCCTTACATCAGGTGGAAACATATTGCGGCGGCTGATTTTAAAAAGCAAATAGAAACCTATAGGAGGTTACTGCCTCCTGAATTATGCGAGCTCGGCACTGATAAATCATTATTATTTAATTCCCCTCTTTATTCTCAGGCACCTTCGAGAATCCAGTCAGTACTCATAGATCCTAATCAAGCGGCAAGAATCGCTAGTTGGATCGACAAGTTAGATTTAGTCACGTATTCTTCTGCGGAGGAAGGTGATGCTGAATCGAAAACCACAAAATTTTATGACCCATGGAACATACCGTATCATTTTAAATTAGTGGTGAGAGGAAGTCGTAACGAAAAATTTGGTCAACACACGCTGCTTTCAAATCAAGCTGTCGTAATAATCCGACCCGAGAACAGTAATGAATTGTTGGGTGGTTATAACCCATTAAGTTGGAATAAGAAATCAATCTCACCAAACAAGGAGCCACAAAACGCGGAATTATTGAAGGATAGCTTTATATTTTCTCTGGGAGACGATGTAAATGGAAAGCAAGATATCATTAGTAGGGTAATCGATGCCAAAGACTCAATATATTGTAATGTTTATTGTTCTCCGGTATTTGGTAAAGGCGACCTGTTTCCGAAAGGTCATTTTGAGATCAAGCAACCCTGTGGATGCAAGCAGACTAGTTATGAGAAAGCTCTACGGTCGACTTCGGAACAATTTTATATAGAAGAGTTTGAGGTATTTCAGATTATAAGAAAGGAATAAAAAATTTTTATGTGGGGAGCAAATACTCCAATGTTTAAAGGACGTGATTAAGTGGATGATGGGTCTATCGTGTGAGACATTTTAAGTGATTCAAAGTCCATACACATATAATCTATGAAATTGTTTCTATTATAAGTAGGAACACGTTTTATCAATATACGTGTTTGATTTATTGACCGAAAATAATTTTGAACTTTGTATACTTCAATGTGTGTAAACAACAAGACCATGTAAATGTTTTACAATTTACTTTCAAAGTCATATGATGATTGGTTTTCTAGTAGCAGTTTGTTCCATTTTGTTCAAAAAGACTATCAACTTTGCCATATTAATCACAAACTAATTTACGATTCGGTATGTCTCGATACAGTTTCATCATATTAAAAATGCCAATCCATTTATGCATTCAATCTTTGAACTATACTACAAATTCATTTGTTTCACTGTGACTAGGTAATCTTTTACATGTACTGTATGTGCGAAAATAAATAGTTTATTCATTATTCTAACATTTTTCAGGATAAAAAAAGAATATTATTTTAATACCTTATATTTGATTAAGTTTGAATTACTGTATATTCGGATACTGTAATTATTTGATTAACGTTAAACATAATTTTATGAGTATTATGACGCACTTGCATTGCATTCAACACCTATATAATTCTGGCCGGAATTATCCAAATCTGATCCCAAAAATGCCACACTTCCCAACCGCGTCAAAATCTCGGATTTTATGTATAGCATAAAATACAAGTTTGTATTTGATTATTTTCAAATAATTATTCTTTTATTTTATTTTTTTTTTTATTTATTTTTTAATAAAGCATTAAATGCAAATTTTTATCGATATGTAGATTTATTTTTCAAAAAATATTAACTTAGTTAAAAAATATATTTTAAATCAATACCATAATGATAAAATAAAACAGTAAGAAACCATAAAAAATTAACATAAAATTTTTTAAATATTAATTAACGCAATTAAAAGTTTTTTAAAAAATATGATATTATTGCGAAAAATACAACATCCTGATGTATGAAACAATAAAATTATCATTGCATTTTTTTCATAACCGAAGATTATACAGTATTTGTATAGGAAAATTTTTTTATAATTATGTTATTAAAACTAACTCCAGATATTTAAAGATAAAAAAATATTTACAAGATTTTTATTTTATATAAATTTTTTGGTTAATAAAAAAATTTGACATTTTTATTGCGGGCAATATGTTGGATTTACTTTGCAAAGTAATAAAAGAATTTTCAATATCCAACTTTTACTGCGAATGATTAAATCAGATACCCGTTGCTTGCAAAAACGTGTAACACTTAACTAATATTCGGTTTTAACCACACAAAATCATGATTTATTAAACATAAGTTATGTACAAGTAAATTGAAAGACAATGACTATATAACGGTCGCGACACTATGCTTTAGTAGAAAAATAAATTATATGGAAAAATGGTTGGAATTAGAAACCCGCATTACTTCATACATTCATTCCAATCTATTGTATTCATTGATTTAATTTCAACTTCACTTCCAGTGTTCATTGAAGATTCCGGATCTACAGAAACTTCATTCAAATTTTCAATGGTTCCAAACTGACTATTTCGTGTCGTTGGCAATCCACCATTAAGTACACTCTCTGTATCATCTAATCGTTTAAAGAAAGAGTAGCTTCTCCTCTGTTTACCTCGGTTGTCATAAGTTCCTTTTACAAATACTGTTTTCTTTATCACGATAAATATAATCGATATGATTAATATGATGGCTATTATGGTTCCTGTTATGGCGGGGATAAAATACGGAGACCTTGAATCATAAGGGCTTATATATCTAGGGTTTGTTGGTAATGATGGAAACGGCAAATATGGTTCTATTCCATGGGTTTTAGTTTCATGACCATCATCATTCTTCCTATAACCATCGGTCATTGGTGAGTTGGTACCACCAATAGGCAGTGCAAGAACATTAGTTGTAGTAGGTGAAGTTGTTGATGTTTGATCAGAATTTGAAGTGGCTGCGATTAAATCTTTGTCATCGGTGGTTGGGTCAGGATTGGAAAGTGTGGGTAAGGTAACAGGATTAGTATTTGAATTACTGCTGATAGTGGGCGAGGTAACAAGATTAGTATTGCCGACAGTGGGTGAGGTAACAGGATTATTAGTTGAATTACTGCTGAAAGTGGATGAGGTAACAGGTTTGGTATTTGAATTATTGCCGAAAGTGGATGAGGTAACAGGATTATTAGTTGAATTACTACTGACAGTGGGTGAGGTGACAGGATTAGTATTGGATAGTGGTGATTTCGAAGTAGGCGTGGTGCTTGATGGTGATTTTGAAGTAGGCGTGGTGCTTGATGGTGATTTTGAAGTAGGCGTGGTGCCTGATGTTGATTTTGAAGTAGGCGTGGTGCCTGATGTTGATTGTACAGATTGTTTCGTTGATGATTTCGTGGAAGTTTGCACCTTGGAAGTTGATAAGTTGATTGATATTAAATTTGATACTTTAGCTGTTGGCTTCGTGAATTTTGTATTAACCGGTAACTTTGTGCTTGTTATCAGTCCTGGCAGCTTCCCGTATCCTGCACCAACGCTGGTTATAGGTCCTGGTAGCTTCTTGAATCCTGTACCAATGTTGGTTATATGATCTGGTAGCTTCTTGAATCCTGTATCGATTGGTAACTTTGTGTTGGTTATAGGTCCCGGTAGCTTTGGTAAGTCTGTTTCAATTTGTGGTTTTGGTAGCGGTAAGTTTGTATTAATCGGTAGTTTTGGTAACTTTGGCTTTTTTGGCAGTCCCGTGCCAATTGATGGGATTACCGGCGGTATGTTAACTTTTGCCGGCGGTACTTTAACTTTTACCGGCGGTATGTTAACTTTTACCGGCGGTACTTTAACTTTTGCCGGCGGTATGTTAACTTTTGCCGGCGGTATGTTAACTTTTACTGGCGGTACTTTAACTTTTGCCGGTGGTATGTTAACTTTTACCGGCGGTACTTTAACTTTTGCCGGCGGTATGTTAACTTTTACGGGCGGTATGTTAACTTTTGCCGGCGGTATTTTAACTTTTGCCGGCGGTATGTTAACTTTTACTGGCGGTACTTTAACTTTTACCGGCGGTATGTTAACTTTTACTGGCGGTACTTTAACTTTTGCCGGCGGTATGTTAACTTTTACCGGCGGTACTTTAACTTTTACCGGTGGTACTTTAACTTTTACCGGTGGTATGTTAACTTTTACTGTCGGTATTGGTATGTCAACTGGTGGTTCCGCTTTTGCTGATGGCTTTACATCGGCAGCTTTGTTGGGTGGTTTTAATTTAACCCCTATGCCTACACTTATATCCACAAGGTCCTTCA